TCTGTCGGTCTGTTGGTTTCTGTCGGTCTGTTGGTTTCTGTCGATCTCTGTGGGTGTCTGTCGGTCTGTTGGTTTCTGTCGGTCTCTGTTGGCTTCTGTCGGTCTGTTGGTTTCTGTCGGTCTTTGTTGGTGTCTGTGGGTCTCTGTTGGTTTCTGTCGGTCTCTGTTTGTTTCTGTCGGTCTTTGTTGGTGTCTGTGGGTCTCTGTTGTGTTATTTATTTATTGTGATGAATAAAGAACAAACAGCTTGTCAGTAGTTGTCAGTTAACCTCGTTGTTTGTCACCTGCAGGACTCACCTGGTGGAGATCAACACGTCCTCAATCACAAGCTCTAGTTTCCAGTTTATGTTTAAATGTGTTTAACTGCATGTTAGCTTAGCAGCCTCTCCTACACACAGATAACAGGAGGCTCCTCATCCGAACTCCGTTTAAAATTCTCACACTTTAATTTGATTCGTTTGCTCTGACGCAGACCCACGTGAAACCGGTTTGAACGTTAAACCGGCCGGTGACCGGGACTCTAACGGAGTCTTCGGCTAGGAGACAATAACTGTGCGACGCGTGTTACATAATAATTTAAATTTAAACGGTGCGACTGAAACCGCCCAGTCACGTACGTTGCGATGCAGAAACGATGTTCATCGGTGAGTTTAACAACCACCGGCTCGATGAGTCATCCCAGATTAACCAGTGATCAGTTATCGATCATCGATAAATACCTGATCGTCGTCGGTAGCATCACCTGCTAACGTCACCGCTGCGGACAGACCCGGGGACACCGGCGGACCTCCGGTGCTGTCCTCCGGTGCTGTCCTCCAGGACACCGAGCGCCTCTGCAGAGAGTCCCCGGGACTCAGAGACGCTCCTCCGGCTCCATCACGTCAGACCGTGACTCGGCTCCTCAGAGTCAAGATGTCGGCGCCGCGTCAGTGGACGCAGCCGAACCTTGAGCCGACAGAGGGCGCTGTTCGCAGTAGTGTGGTGTGGTACTGTAGTACCAGTGTAGTACAAAGTATCCGCAAGTACACGAAGTATTCTCTCTTCTAAATCTCGCCTTCTCCGCCTCTGATTGGTTAGTTAGGATACAAATATCAGAGTAAGCCAATCAGAGGCGGAGTAGGGCGGGACATATCCGAGTTTCTCTACCTGGTAAAATTTCAGCTGCTCAGAAATAAAAAGTGAGATCAGCGTCACTAAACTGACGTTTCATGACTTCCTGTTCCTAACTTCACAGACTGATCGCCCTCAAGTCTGTGGACCAGGACCGATGCAAAATCTGCATCATCATCTGCATCATCATCAAACAGTGTGAAGCAGGTGAGCCGGAGCGGATGAGATAATACTCACAGGGACGTGAGGGACGAGAATCCAAGTCAACGTTTGCACCAAATTTGAAGAAATTCCCTTGAGAGGATATTACCATTATCACCATGACCTTGACCTTTGACTTAGTAAAATGAAATCCCAGTTCAAGTGAAGGTTTATACCAAAGAATTCCCTCGAGGGTTCCGGAGTCATCACATTCACAGTGACCTGATGGAAAGACTTCAAATCAACACAAAGTTCTGTGTCCTTCACCTTTGACCAAGATATAGTTCATGTTTGAGTCTCAGTGGAGATTTGGACCACATCTGAAGATATTCCCTCAAGGCGTTCTTGAGATATTGCGTTCAAGGGAATGGGACGACGGACAACCTGAAAACTAAATGAGTTTTGTCTCTGTCACAACAAAACATAAAAATTTGTCCTGAGCTTTATTTGAAAAGATGACGACAGCCAGTTCAACCCAGGAAGGTTGAGATTTTATAATGAAGCTGAATGTACAGACGCAGCTGTGACATCATGATAGATCCATGTTATTCAGGGGGACTCAATGACAGTGACGTCAGGTGGCGGGGCAGAGTTGGGGGGGGGGGGGGGGGGGTCACATTACATCCACAAAAAAATCACTGGGGTTTCCCATGGCAAGGTGGAGGGACTGTCTGGCACCTGAGACTGAGGAAACGATTTGTCTCTGATCTGAAGACGGTGACAAAGCCGGGGGGAAGTCCTTTGAGTATTTGTTGCTATGGAGACCAGAAATGGAGGACGGGGGTGTCCGGGCCCTGTCATCATCAGTAGACTCCATTACGAGGTGTTTGGTAAGCTGTGATTGGCTGACTCCTCCCTCCTTCAGACCATCGCTGCAGTTTGATTCACAGCTTCCTGTTTGGTCACATGGACAGGAAGTATATTTCATAGATCTGTGATGGATTTATTAACGAATGATCAGAACAGGAAATACTGTGTCACCTTTACTGTGACGACTTCCTCCCCCACAGGTTGGCAGCTGATGGGGGGGCTGAGGACAGCTGTAGAGGTGAGGGATGGTGGTTGGGGGCCACTGGGGTCCAGAACCCGGAGGGTCACACACTGATCCTCCTCCTGGACTGGAGACATGATCCAGTAGAGACGTCACACCCAAACCTGAAAGACAGGGGGCACCAGAGCGCAGGTTAGACCATAACCATAGACCAGCAACCAGGGACCAGCTACCACAGACCTGAACCTGAGACCTTATCCACAGATTCAACATCGTCACATTAACTTAAATTTACATTTGACACAAACATCTGGAAATAATTAACGATCAGAGCGAAAGTTTTGAGATAATTTTTGGACATTTTTCTTGTGGTCAGGAGACTAACTGCAGCTTCAGAGACTTCTTGCTTCGATGTTTGAGGGATCAGACATGTGAATCCTCACCACAGCAGACGTCTCCGAACACATAGTAGCACTGCTCAGAGAACGTGACCTTGTTGATGGTGTGTCGGATGTATCCGGCCCTCAGCAGGTTTCCTGCATACTTCCTGGCTTCGCGACGGTCTGTCAAACCTTCTACGTTGTGGTGGAGCCAGTCGACCACTTCCGACCCTGAACACACCGAAGACAAACAGACGGTAGATGATCTTCATGGTTCAGTGTGGAGCCTCATTATGATCCTGACATCAGCTCTTACCAATAAACGCATTGGGGATCGTGATCTTCAACCACATCCTGTCCCGAACTTCCAGGCCTGACTCTGGATTGGTCATCGCCTTGACAACATCTGTGATGTCACTGTGGATGGTGAAGTGGTGTTCTTCATGGACGCCTGAGGAAACAGCAGCAGATGACTGTTGAGGTCATAGATGGACAGGAGGACAGGTGCTGCATTGGCTGATAGGAGTCTGACCGTAGTGTGGGAGGAGCTTCCCCGTCATGGCAGCAGTGTGAGACACCCAGGCGGCGGGGTCAATGGGTCGGACAGGTTCACCTTCAGTTAAAGAACGACGGAGATTAATGTCACTTTAATAAAATCACACAGTTGCTATGATGACATGTTACATTATTAACATGATAAAGTAATGATCATGATCTCGTCTTCTGTTCACTCACTTCTCGGCAATGGGAAGCGGCTTCGAGGGTTCGGATCCCAACATTTTGCCACAGTCAACGTCACTGCACTGAAGACAGACAGGTAAGAGACAGACAGGTGAGAGACAAACAGGAGAGAGACAGACAGGTGAGAGACAAACAGGAGAGAGACAGACAGTAGTAGTATTGGTATTAGTTGTATCAGTTGTATCAGGATGACATCTCTCAGGAGCATCAGTAGTAGTTTTATTTAAGGACATAGTAGTGAACAGTGAACCTGTATCTTTGATACCTGATTTAATACCTGTACTACAGGAGTACTACAGGAGTACTACAGGAGTACTACAGGAGTACACTGAAACCATCACTGACACGAATATATGTCCGGTTCACAGAAAGACCCTGAACGCTGCCTTTAGAGCCAGAGAACCTGTTCATCAGCAAAGTGTGTTTACACCAAGAAAATAACTCTGCAACTGACCCTGAAGACAGCAGAGACACACCGAGCCTGAGGCAGGGATTCACACTACCAACCTCCACCACAGGCCTGTGACATCATCTCTCTGCTGAAACAACTGAACAACACCACTGCACAGAAATCACCCCCCCAACAATCTAAAGGTCAAGTGATGAAAGACATTTTCAACACCTCCTTGAGTCAGGCTGTCGTCCTCAGATGAAACGTCCACCACCACCTGTGATAAAGAAGTCATCTCCATCCAGCTTCATCAACTACCTCCTGTCCCACTGACTCCCACCACCGTCAAGAGCTTTGAGAGGCTGGTCACATCAAGTCTAATCTCTTCTGCCCTCTCCCACCTGGACCAGAAAGACTCATCTGTGAGGATCATTCAATGCAGTTGCTTCAGCAGCTGAGGATCGGCTCCATCACTCTTAGCACTTGGGCCCCACAGGGTGTGTGCTCAGTCCCCTGCTGTTCACCCTGCCGACCCACAGCTGTGGTGGGCCTCAGACCGAAGACCTCAGATCTGAACCAGAGAACTGAACTAGAGACCTGAACCAGTGACATCAGCAGGAACAACAAATTCAGTTACAGGAGTGAAGTGAACCAGCTGCCACGTGGTGCAAGGACAACCACCTAACCCTTACCCCCGCCTCCAAGGACTGTACCACCATTTTTACTTTAAACGCTGCTCATCATGCAACTGCTGCTATCTTAACTAATTACTACATCCTGTGGATGTACATTACTTTCCATGAAGTATTTTTGTGTTGGGTACTTACATTTTCTGTCTACTTATATTTACACCGTGGACCAGAGAGAAACAACATTTCAATCCCGTCTGTGTTCTGTTCGTGTCAGAACTGACAATAAAGTTGACTCTGACTAATCTTAGAAGTAGAATGTTTCTGACCCTGGTTTGTGGACGACGTCTCTCAGGACTCGAACAGCATCGTCATTACACAAGTTTTCAAAGTTGATGTCATTCACCTGAAACAAACAATAGTACTGCGGTATGACAATACTACAGTGTTACAGTACTATAATGGCTGTTTTCAAACATGAACTCCTCAGGTCTCTGGATCTTGAACTCAAATTTCAGAGTGAGACTCAGTTTGTCTGTCTCCTCCTTCACTCCTGTATAAAGTCTAAGTCCAGGAGAAGTGAGGACACAGCAGAGCGTCCTCCACTGATCCACTGAGGGAGTGGGGGGGTGATGAGCTTCTAACACGTGACACAAACATGAAGAAACACAAACAAATGTCTCTGGAGACAAAGTGCTGACACACGTAGAAGACAGACGAAGACGTGAAGACAGTTTGTGGTGATGAGAGCTGACGACGGTGTCAGGTGATGTAACCATGATCACATGATCACTTCCTGTCTGTCTGCTCCACCTCTCACCTGAAGAACGAGGAGGATCTGATGCTGAACGAGTCTGAGCAGAAAACCTGCTGCTGAGTTGTTCAGCTGTGAAACATGAACTCTAGAGACGAGTCTCTGGAGACACGAGTCTCTGGAGACGAGACTCTGGATTCTACCTGGAGCTCATGTCTGAAAACAGCTTATGAGATAACTGCAGTAGTTTTACAGTATTACAGTACTACAGCGGACTGTAGAGGTAATATTACAGCATTAATGTAATTGTATTACTTCAGTCAGAGTAGTACCTTTAGTAGTAGTATTGTAGTAGTATTATATAGTAGTAGTAGTACCTGCAGCAACATGTCTCCAGGCTCGATGCGTCCGTCTGCTGCTACAGCTCCTCCCTTCATGATGGAGCCAATATAAATTCCTCCGTCTCCTCTGTCGTTACTTTGACCCACGATACTGACGCCAAGGAAGTTATACCTCTCTGAGAGACAGACAGGTGGAGACAGAGAGACAGACAGGTAGAGAGAGACAGACAGGTGGAGACAGAGAGACAGACAGGT